TTGGTAAAATTATATTTTTATCCTTAAATACTATATTTTCGATTTACAACATAATGTCTAAAATTGACATTTTATCTTTTTAAAATCACTTTTTATCGGTAATCTCAAACAATTAAATTTTAAATTATATTTTTTAAATACTTTTAAAAGTAAATTTTTACCGTACTAACCTCCGTAAACAACTGATTCACTACTTTTTTTCTCTTTAGATTAATCTGGGCTAAGTATAAGATAATATATGTTTAAAGATGACTCTTAACCATCAGACGTTGAACGCTCGTACCCCTTAACAATATCTACTATTAAGTAAAATATATTTGATTAAGGATACTATTTTTTTTAAAAAATAAGAGTATACTATATATGATTTTATTTCTTAAAAAAACATGTCAAAAAGTCTCCCTCGGAGATCCGTTAGACTTGAAAAATTAGTTTCGGGGAAGGCGATGAAAATTCAATTTTAAAACCAATTTGATTTTGGAGTCGCCACCAACCTTTAAGTTTGGTAGGTTGGAAACCTTAAACGACAAAAAATGGTCTGCGTTTTACCAAATATTTATTTTTAAGAGTTCGGGAATCGATTACGTGTGGGGAAGGGTGAGCACCCCACATCGCCCAAATTTTGGTGCCTAAACGATTATATGTTATTTAAATATTGGGAATTACAAACTTCAAAAATATATTTAAATTATGATCCTTCAATTTATTCAAATTTATTTAAATAAGTGTCAATTTTAAAAAAAAATTAAATAAGGAATGCAATGGATCAAAAAGATTAAATAACCCAAAAATTTTTATTGAATAAAAAATATTATAATTACTTTTATAAGAGAAAATGTGTCATTTTGTACGAACAATCCTTGAAAATGTACTTCCTTTATAGTTATGAGACTTTTTCATAGATTGCCCTCACAAAAGATGTTATTTCGTAATTTTTCGCAAAGATAATACAATAAACCAAAACAAAACAAAATAAAAGTGAAAATAGTTGAAAAATAATCTAAATAAATAAACGTAGAACAAAGAAAATTATCAAATACAAAACAAACATTCATGCGAAAAATCCTCGAAAAGATACCTTCCCTTGTAGTTGGGAGATGTCTTCGTATATTTCCTTCGCAATGAAATTTTCCCATTTACATATTTTAGAAAACAAAATGAAATATAAAAAATAAGGTGCAAGCAATAATACCAATGTGCAAATAGATAAGGAACCAACATGCAAACTTTCTAAACTAACCATCCATATTAAAAATACCATACAAGTAAAGGGGTAAATAAATAAGACTGAAATATAAAAAATAAAAATTACATGCACGAAACATAAATACACCATCAATAAGCTCAATGATTAAAATAAAATAACATAAAATAAAGTAACAAAATCAAAAATAAATAAAACAGGAAATATAACATATCAGTGACTAAATTGAAAGTAACAAAACTAAAATGCTAAAAATAAAATTAAAAAATAGGGTTTGGGGAGTAAAATGAAAAATAGACATGTAGTATAGGGACTTGGAAGTAAATAAACCAAAAAAGTTAGTGTTAAGAATTAAAAAACAAAAAATCACTAAATCAGTCCATAAGTATTAAAAATAATTTAAACAGTCACTACATATGACCAAAATGCAAAACATGCCTAAAAGTACAGGGACCAAATAGAAATTAAACCAAAAATATATACATGCATCAAAAATGGGTAAACTATAAAAACAGTCCCTGTAGGTGACTATTTGCAAAACACACTTAACTTAGGGGAACCTAACTGTAATTTTCCCCTAAAATTTTCTATAAATATCAACATTTTTCTTTTTTTTCAATTTTTCATTTAAAATAGGTTTTAGAGAGAGAGGGGGACTCCCCTCTCTATAGAAAATCGGTGATCACCGGTAGCTTACCACCCTCCGACCATCGTGCCATTCGTCGCTAGTCGTCGCTGCACCATTGCCTTCGGTGGTCGATGGTCACCAAATTACACCGAGAGGATCGTCTTGGTCTCCTCATCTCCGATCTGGCCTTCGTTTCTCAAGAATCTGCACCGTTCGTCGTAAAAAGGCTGAAAATCGTTTGACCTTCCTCTCCCTGATCTGTCGTCATCCACCGTTGAATTGCCACCATTTTTTAGTATGTTGTTTGTGGTGGTTTCCTTTCCATTTCTAGCGTTTATATTCGTGAACGTATGACCCCAATGTTATGAAATGTCATCGGTCAGTTGGGTAAGCAATATTTCTTTCTCTTGTATTTATTTTTTCTTTGTTTCGAAATAGGTAAAAATTAAAATAAAAAAAAATTGTTTGAACTTTTTTATTGTTGATAAAATTGTCCCCCATATTGTTTGGTTTTTTGGGGTTATATACCACAGAAAATATCAAAACAGAAAAAAAGTTTCTTTCTTTCCTTGCTTTACCTGTTCGGTGGTGGTAGGGCATGGGGCATTGGCAGGGTAAGACAGTGATGTGAAGAGGTGAGACAGCAGCATGGTGGTCTGCTCGGTTGGCATAATCTTGGTTTTGGCTCCTACTGAGCTGCTGGATCGGGTCCCTTGTAGTGGGATGGTTTGTTTGGGCATGCAAATGTAATATGTAAATTAACAATAAATAATATAAAATATAAAAAAAAATTAATAAAAATGAGAACTCGGACAAAAACGGGTGTCTACATCTGCCCCTCTTTGCCCATTCTTGTATTAACAAGAATAGGGCAACGACGAAAAGATAACTAGTTTTTGTCTGGTTCTCTCTTTGGTTTTGAAATTTGATATGTTTGTTGTTGGGGATGACATTGCTCATGCGTGATGAAGAGTTCTAGTCGTCTAAGGATGAAACAGCTCTTACGTGATGAGGAGGTCTGGTCGGTGGATGACACCGTTCCTACGTGATGAGGACACATGGCCATCTTTAGGGAGGGTGATAACACGATTCCTACGCGATAAGGACGGCTGGTTATCTAGGGGTGACACGCCTCTTACGTGATAAGAAGGTCTAGTCGGTATATGACACAGTTCCAACGTGATGAGGATGGCATGCCAAAATTAGGGATGATAACACGATTCTTACGTGATGAGGATGGATGGTTATCTAGTGGTGTCACGGTTCCTACATGATGAGGAGGTCTAGTCGGTGGATGACACAGTTCCTATGCAATGAGGATGTTTGTCCATATTTAGGGATTTGTTTCAAGAAACTGTCTCAAGAGAGACAAAATTTGTTTCAAGGGAAACATACTCACATATTGGTGTTTCAAGGGAAACTGCTTTAAGAGAGAAAAACTTTGTTTCAAGGGAAATGGACTCAAAGATTTTAATTTGTTTCAAGAGAAACTGTCTCAAGAAAGACAAAACTTTGTTTCAAGGGAAACAATCTCAATGTTATGTTTCAAGTGAAACAATTTCCTAACTTTGTGTTTTAAGGGAAAACTATAACAAGTGAGATGAAATTTGTTTTGAGTAAAAACAATATCAATTGTTCGTGTCATAAGGAACAATGTCTCAAGTGAGACAAATTTTGTTTTGAAAACAATTTCAAGTGAGATCAACTTTGATTCAAGTGAAACAAATTCAAAATATACATCTCAAGGGAGAATTGTCTCAAGCGAGACGAATATGTTTTGAAAGAAACAATCTCAAGTAAGATTAATTTTGTTTCAAGTAAAATAAACTTTGAAATTTGTATTCCGAAGGAAACTATCTCCAGTGAGACAAAATTTGCTTCAAGTAAAATTGTCTCAAGCGAGACAAATTTGTTTTTTTTAGAGAAAATTATGTCAAGCGTGGCAATATTTAAAAAAAAAATTGTCCCTAGCGAGACGAAACTTTGTTTCGAGAGAAACAACATCAAAGGATACAGATAGTCTGCTTGTTCCTGGATTTTGAGGAGATCTAGCTTCCTTTAGAAGATCTAATCGTTCACTTCAGGATGTTGAATCTTTAGATGACATTTGGTCATTCTCGAACCTTTATTTCCTGAAAAATCAATGATACATTTATGGATGATTATCTTGGATGTTTATGGGTGTCATGATGAAATATATTTGATGTGTTTGATTTGATGAATTATTGAATTTGTCCTCAAGAGAGGAGAAAAATGTTTTTAATACACATGATTATGAATGTTTGATGCAAAGATGCAAATTTAATGTAACAAGTGTGTTGATGCAAGTTTTCTCGATCAATGGTGGGAATGGTTGTATGAGCAGTCTTCATTATATCCATTATTCGGTTATCTTCATTCTTTGTTTGCACCAGCGTGCCTCTTGGCAAATCTTGACTCACAACAATTTTGTTATGATTTAGGATAAAATGATAGAAGAAATTTTTAGGGATTTAAGAAAATAGAGAGAATAGGTTACAGAAAACGTGCATTCATTTCATAAGATCATTCCTAAGGAAATTGGTACAAATTATATATAAACAGGTACCAGCTGTCAGAACAGAAAATCTATCAAAATAACTGCCTATATGCTGACTCATCACCAATTCTCTACCCTGATATTATTCTAACAGATTATAGCCCAAATGTTTAGGTCCACCTGTATACTTAATTGAGCTAAGTCCATTAGGCCCAACTATTCCTCCACCCGTATATACCCCAGCCTTACTCTCCTTACCCATCTCCTGTCTCACTTCACTCCCAATCCCCTCTGATAATATATCAATCCCTAGCCCCCTTTTAATCCCTATATTCCGTTCGATCCTCCCCCAAATTCTTCTGATCTTCCCCTAATTTCTTCTGCTGTAACCCTAATTCCTCTCTTTAATTTCCCCCCAAATCAATTCCTTCAAACCCTAACTCACCCTCCATCGTGACAATACCCCCTCCATCAGATGATCCTTATCCCCAATGATCGAAATCAGGAAACTATTTCTTCAATACTGTAGCATCTTCCCAAGTGGCGTCTGCTAGTGCCATGTTCGTCCAGTGGATAAGAAATTGATCAATGGCTTGATTATGTCCTTTTACCAGTCGTCGATTTAAAACCGTGGATGGGTAAACTTTTAGTTAACCGTCTGACGCAACCTCCGGAGGATTTATCGAGGTAAACGCCTGTTGCCCTACTTTTTTCTTAAGTAAACTTACATGAAACACCGGATGCAACCTCGATTCTGGTGGCAAATCAAGTTTATACGTAACTTGACTGATTCTCTTCTGTATTTTGTAAGGGCCAAAAAATCGAGCAGCAAGTTTCAGATTCTTCCTCAATGCAAGAGATGTATGTCTATATGGTTGAAGTTTCAGGTAAACTTCATCTCCGACTTGAAATTCTCTGTCAGTGCAACTTTTATCCACCATTTGTTTCATTCTATTGCTTGCTTTGAGTAGTTGCTCTCTTAGGAATAAATTCAATTGATCTCTGTGTTGCATCAGACTCTGAACTGCATCCACCCTTGACTCTCCTGACCAGTGTAAATTAGGGGGTTTATACCCATATAATGCCTCAAATGGGGTCATCTGTAAAGTTGTGTGGTAATTTGTGTTATACCACAACTCAGCTTGTGGTAGCAACTGTGACCAACAGCTTGGCTTTAGAAAACACATACACCTTAGATACTACTCCAAACATTGATTGAGTCTTTCAGTCTGACCATCTGTTTCTTGATAATAGGCAGTACTAAAATAGGTTGTTGTCCCCAATTGCTTAAGTAATTCTTGCCAAAATAAGCTGGTAAAAGACTTATCTCTGTCAGAAATAGCAACTTTAGGTGGACCATTAAATTTATAAAACTGATCAAGATACACTCTAGCAACCTCCACCACTGTATAAGGATGAGATAAAGGAAAAAAAATGAGCATACTTAGTAAATTTGTCAATCACTACCAGAATACAATTGTACTTTGTTGAAGGTGGTAATCCTTCAATAAAGTCCATTGTAATCACTTCCCAAGCATTGTTTGGAACTGGAATAGGTTGTAACAGACCAGGCTTAGGAATATGCTCAACTTTAGTCCTCTGAAAAATATCAAACTGCTTAATATGTTCTTGAGTCATAAATTTCATTCTTGGCCAGAAAAAATAAGATTTAATTCTCTGGTATGTAGCTTGAATACCTGAGTGTCCTCCTTGTGGGGAATCATGCTGAGCCACAATTATCTTCTGTCTAAGGTCTCTTGTACTTCCAACATAAATCATGTGCTTAAAATATAAAACTCCTTTAGTTAACTTCCAATCCTCCATACTCTCTGGTTGAAGAATCAGAATAGGAATTTTTTCTTGAGCTATGACATCACCTTCATAACTCTTTTCAATGTCATTTACCCAAGTAGGAGTTATAAGTGTGACCCCCATCTGTAAAAACTCACTAAAATCAATCTGTTGTTTAGAGAGTGCATCTGCCACCTTATTAGATTTACCCTTTCTGTACTGAATGGTATAATCCAGCCCCAGCAACTTTGTAAGCCCTTTCTTCTGTAAAGCTGTAGTTAATTTCTGTTCTAGGAGATGTTTCAAAGGTTCATGATCTGTTTTAATCACAAAAGACCCACTCTCTAAATAGTGTCTCCAATAAGATATTGCCATCAGGATAGCCAAATATTCCTTTTCATAAATAGAAAGATATGTATGCTTATGACCCAAAGCCCTACTCAAGTAAGTTATAGGTCTACCTGCCTGGGATAGAACAACCCCAATTCCCTTTGAACTAGCATCAGTTTCTAAAAAATAATCTGTTCAAAATTGGGTAAAGCCAAAACTGGAGCTTCACACATAACAGCTTTTAATTTTTCAAAAGCTAATTTGGCCTCTGTGGACCAATGGAATCCTTCCTTTTTCAGCATGTTTGTCAAGGGTTTACTCAATTCTCCATACCCTTTTATAAATTTACTATAGTATCCTCTGAGACCCAAGAACCCTCTTAAAGCTTTTAGGTTCTTAGGCAGAGGCCATTGTTGCATAGCCTTAATTTTAGCAGGGTCAGTTGCCACTCCCTTAGCTGAAATAAGATGCCCCAAATACTCCACTTGCTGCTGCCCAAAAAAACATTTACTCTTCTTGGCATATAACTGATTCTTTAACAAAATCTCTAATACAACCCTCAAATGTTATTTTTGTTATGCCATACTAACATTGTAAACCAGAATATCATCAAAAAAAATATAAGAACAAACTTCCTTAAATAAGGTCCAAACAGATCATTCATCAAAGCTTGAAAAGTAGCTGGAGCATTAGTAAGTCCAAAAGGCATGACCTTAAATTCATAATGCCCTTGATGAGTTCTAAAAGCAGTCTTATGAATATCCTCATCTCTTATCCTGATTTGCCAATAACCAGACCTCAAATCAATCTTTAAAAAGAAAGTAGCACCATATAGTTCATCCAATAAGTCTTCTACTATAGGAATAGGAAACTTATTCTTAACTGTAGCAGAGTTAAGTTGTCTATAGTCTACACAGAATCTCCAAGTTCCATCTTTCTTTTTAATAAGAAAACAAGGAGAAGCAAAAGGGCTTTTACTTACTTGTATGATAGAAGATGATAACATCTCAGCAAATCTATAGGGTCTCAAATTAACTGGTTGTGTTCCTTGTTTCAAAACAATAGCATGATCATGTTGTCTCCTATGAGGCATTCCTTTTGGTTCTTCAAACACTTCATTAAACTCTTCCAATAATTCTTGCAAAGGTAGGGGAATTAAATTGTCTTGCACTTCAGCATTTAACAAATAAATTTCTCCAGTTAATTCAGTATCTTTTTCCACCAATTTCTGAAATTTTTCACCTGTTATGGGTTTGATTAGTGGTAATTTTTTAGTACCTCTAATCACAACAGCCTTTCCATCCTTCTCAAAACTAATGGTTTTTGCCTTAAAATCCATCAATATATGGCTAAATTCCTCCATCCAGTCCACCCCCAATACCATGTCACTGCCTCCCAAAGACAATACCCTGAAATCATGCTGAAATTCATAACCTTGCATCTTCCAACTCACCTTATTGCTTCTGGCAGTACTGAACAATTTTTCCCCATTAGCTACTGTAATAGTCAATGGTTGAGTATTAACTACCTCTACTCCTTCTTTAGCCCACTTGGGAGTCACAAAACTATGAGTGTTGCCACTGTCAATCAGCACATTAATAGGTTTGCCTCTGATAAAACCTTGAATCCTCAAAGTAGTGTGTCCTACATTCCCTGTAAACATTGATAGAAATTTCCAGTTCTTTTTTAGTTTGATCTTCCACCTCTCCATTCTCTACTTCTGTTAAATCTTGTTCAGTAGATTCAATAGGTTCCTCTTCCTCCATACAGTTTAGCTGTCTGACTTTGCATTGATGCCCTGGAACAAATTTTTCTCCACATTTAAAACACAGATTATTGGCTCTTTTATATTCTAGTAGACTCTGTTTTGGATTGGAATTAGGAGGAATTGACTTAGGCAAGAAATTCCTATTACCACTGTTCTGTTAACTGTTTGAAGGAGTGTAAGAAAAAAATTTACTAGCAGATTTGTACTTCTTCCCTTCAATCTCATTAGCCAACTCATATAGTTTAGCTTGCCTATAAGCTTCAGATAAATTCTTAGGCTCCAGCACTTTCACTTTATGTTTTAATTCTTCATTGAGGCCACTAATAAAGTTGGACACAAAATAATTCTCCACCAAATGGATGTTCTATTGCAACAAATAAGGCCTTAATTCTTCAAACTTTTCTTGATACTCCTCCACACTCCCCTTCTGCATCAGCTTATTGAATTCTTCAATAATATCAGAATAATTTCTATCACAAAATCTGTGACACAAATCAGCCTCAAATTCATGCCATGTCACTCTATACTTCTGTATAATGTACCTATCAAACCACGTCTCAGCCTTCCCAACTAAATACATATCAGATATTTCCAGTTTCTGCTCCTCATGTATTCCAAACAAACTAAAAAATTTCTGACATTTCCTGACCCAACCCCTCGGATTATTACCTTCAAATAATGGTAACTCTATTTTTGGTCTAGGTAATACAGAACTAGGATTCCCAAAAGGGTTTTTACAGTAGTTTATAGTATCAACATGCTCATCTCCTCCCCCATTATTCTCACTAGAACTACCCATAAGTTTCTCTTCTTGCAACTTCTGATTAAAAAGTTGAGGTTCAGTAAACCCATAGGTTTAGAGGCTAAAATCCTTGGTTCATTAGGTTGAAAGTGTACTTCTCACTCTCACTAAGAACCGCAATTAAGCATGGTGCTTTACCTTCACTTTTGTTCTGTTTCTCATCTGCTGGTGGTTGGTTCTTCACTGACTTAGGTGAATCTTTTTCCTCCGCTGCCTGATTAACCATCTATAAGATCCTCTGCAAATACCCTCTGTTCTCAGTCATACCTTCTTCCAAGGTTTGTATCCTTCTTTCCAGCTCTGTCTTCTACCCAGCCCACAAAGATGGTAAGGTCTCCTCTTTAACCTCTACTGCTGCTTGTTCTGGTACCTCTGTGGTTCCAGCTCTTTGCGTTTTTCTTGTCTTTCCCAGATTTAACAATTGATTTTGGATCCAAAACTCAGCTCTGTTTACCAATTTGTTATGATTTAGGATAGAACGATAGAAAAATTTTAGGGTTAAGAAAATAGAGAGAATAGGTTACAGAAAACATGCATTCATTTCATAAGATCATTCCTAAGGAAATTGGTACAAATTATATATAAACAGGTACCAGCTGTCAGAACAAAAAATCTATCAAAATAACTGCCTATATGCTGACTCATCACCAATTCTCTACCCTGATATTATTCTAACAGATTATAGCCCAAATGTTTAGGTCCACCTGTATACTTAATTGAGCTAAGTCCATTAGGCCCAACTATTCCTCCACCCGTATATACCCTAGCCTTACTCTCCTTACCCATCTCATTTCTCACTTCACTCCCAATCCCCTCAGATAATATATCAATCCCTAGCCCCCTTTTAATCCTTAATTTCGTTCGATCCTCCCCCAAATTCTTCTGATCCTCCCCTAATTTCTTCTACTATAACCCTAATTCCTCTCTTCGATTTTCCCCCAAATCAATTCCTTTAAACCCTAACTCACCCTCCATCATGATAAATTTCTTCTTGCCCCAGCAAATTTTACCCCTGATGAATTTGGCTTCCTTTTTCTGGACCTGTATAGAAATCCCATAGAGTTTCCCTCATGATACCATCATCATCTATGCCAGATGATATGAAAAGAGAATCTATCATTTCAAGCTTCGGAGATTGTGTATGCACAGCTGTCCTGTAGTTGGAAATAAAAGACCACTGCTTGGAGCTGGCCACCGTAGTAATTGATGGAATATCAGACTGCCCCAAAGAACCATGAGACACATCCATGCCAAGTATAATAGTTGTAACATTAGAATAAACTGGAATTGAAGGTGTTTTCTCAATTGTTAACATCGAATTCAGTTCTCCGAACTTTGTATTGATTATGAGGAGCAAATTTGTAAGGTACTGATCATTGACCCAAGTTAAAGTTATATATCGTGTGACTATGCCAAACTCGAAAAAGACTCATAGAGATCATAATTTTATTATTAGATGAAACACAAAGGAGGAACTGTGGAGCTCTAGGAAGTTTGGATATCCTCAAACGTCCAGAAACTTATTCATCATTTTCTATGGCTTCTGTCTAGATTTTTCAATCAGGGAATCTCTTTGTATAGTGTTCAGGCTTTTTTGTATAGTGTTGCAAGGGAACTAAAGAGTACAACTCCGTAGGTATATAAGTGGGATACTTTGGCTTGCTAACATTAATGCTTGGCCGATCACCAGAACAATGCAAATATATGTTGCGATAATGGACAAAATAGTTATATATAGTGAGCTCCAATTCTGCTTCACCATTTTCATTATTCTCACATTTTTCTAACTCATTGATGTCCGCTCAATTTAATGATGTTGTACTCATAGATGATATGAGCCTCCAAAGATGCCCCAACATTCATCATTTCTTGCTTCAGCACCGATTATGAGCTTTGTGTCTGAGAGTCACGTGTTAACACTCAAGATCCACTCCAGAGAGATTGTCTTGTTTGAAAATGATTTTCTTATTCTTTTTATTTTCAAGAATTTGAAAAATATCAATTAAAATAATTTTGAAATTTTTTTAATCAAGAATTTTGAAAAAATATTGCCCCTTTCTAGGTTTCACAATTGAAACAAAACGTAAAACATGAGTTTCGAATATCAAAAGAATCAACTACTCTTTTATCTTTCATAGCTGCAAATCTTTGACAAATATCAAGATCGAAAGGTTGGTTTTGAGGTTAATTGCCTACACTTTGAGGTTTGTTTCATTAATTCGTCCTCGTTCATTATGACAATTATTACATGCCCCTATTTCTTTGTTTGGCATTTTAATCGGTGGCGGACAAAATAATGCAACTAGCATAGTCAATTACTAGACTCTTTAGAACACTTCTATTTCAGTTCTCTAAAATATTCTATTTGTTCAAGCTTCGTAGGCTCCTCTAGCCAAGGTAGTGAAGAAATATTGGTCTAAAACTGAGATTTATGAGTGCTTGTGTGAAGTTGACTATAACAGTTGTTCCTCAACTCCCTTAGTCCATATTCACTAAAACTCTTTGTTTAGTAAATTTGATTTAATTTGCAATTGTTTAGCAAATTGAATTCAACTTTATTGTATATATATATTTTATAATTGTTTTTGTTTGGCTAGCTGAAGGATTCATGTCGTCACAAAGTTTTCGACTTGACAATCACAATGGAGCAAACACCGAATTTCCAAATACCAGATTAATGTCATGGTTTGAATGTAATCTATTATAAAGCCATGGCTTTTGAGTTTCATCTATAACCAATTGCTTTAACGGAATAGCTCAGCTTTATTGTGTGTATATATAATATATATTATGGTATACAAATTCCATTTCTAAAGTTTGTCAAAAAGAACCTGTTATAGTCCCGGTGTTTGTTGAAGGACAGAAAATCTCATCGTTAGTGCTTAATTTCCAAGCAACTGACCTAAACTAGATTCACCTACTCGACCATTCCATCTGTGAAGATCATGATCATCATTGAACATCATCAACGGAAGTATGAACTAATCAACTTTGCTATATCATGTGCTAGATACCCCATTTTGTCTGCTCCTGACACATACCTGAATGCCAAGTCCTCTGATTGCTTCTTCATGTGAAGAGAAAACTAGTTAGGTCCCTACAAGATAAGGATATATATTCTGGTGTATCTTTTAAATTAGGATCAAGGGATCCTTGTTTTGTAAGGGTTCAATCTTGTCATTTGTCAAAGATTTACAACCTTAACTATTAAAAAGCTTTTAATTAAGATGATATTCAAAGAATTCCAAGATTTAAAAATTTTCTCATTGCTCATTTCCTCAGAATGAATCATTTTATTTAAAATGTTCTAACATCAAGTGACTTACAAACATTTAAACGTAGGAAGAAAAAGAAAATCAAGTTCAAATATGATGACATGCTTTGATGTGAATGCAAAAGAATTCCTGATGGATGTCATAACCTACTACTGACTAGAATGCCCTATTGCACATCAAATGTCCATGCCCCTGAGTCGATCAGATCTTAGACATGGCCTTCAGTATATGTGGACTTTTTTTTTTGCTTGGAATGAATGAAAGTCACAAGATTCTTCTCAACCAGCGTTGGAAGTAATTCCTCATAGGTCATTAGAATTTGATCAAATTAACTCTCTTTTCTCGGATCATCCTATAAGGCTTAGTCCTACGACTGGCTGAGTAGGCTCCCACTATACTGATTTTAGATTCTTCTTGTAATTGTTCGAATATTGCTTCTATTCTTAATGTAGTGTCACATGAATAGGACCACTATCGAAATAATTCCATGTTTTCATGAATGATGCATGTGAAAACGTTTAAATAAATGCAGTGCATAATGTAAATGCAAAAGGTATCGGTTTCCAAAAGTAACCATTCTTAGAAAGAGTTTCATTCATCCAAAAGAGCTTTCATCTTTACAAGAGAGATCAATCTACGAACGCAGTTTGGCCCTTTTATTTAGCTCCATGATCTCAGTCATGATCCCATCAACTTTCTCTTCTTTCCAGAAATAACTTCGAATCTAGATGGTGAATAGTTAAACGCAGCCTCTGAATCGAAATCCCTCTAATCTATGACAATTATTTAAGGATCGAAAGGTCTCTGCCAAGACAGTCGGTGCAGGATTTATACCTCTCTCCAATCTGTGAAAGAAATATGCAACA